CCTACAAGGCATCAGGTTTACTGTGGATCAAGAGTGAAATTACCATGGATTTTAACAATGAAATGATCATGATCATGATCATGATCATTTTGCTCTTAACTTCAAAATAATTACGTCTTCAGGGTAGAATGATATTTTCTATGTCAAAATTCATTAAAGATTTGGACAGAACAATAATATCCTTATAATTTTATTTAGCATGGTGTGATTATTTCATTACCCTTACTAGCAAAATTTTCTAAACATGGGAATGAGAGCTTTATTGTCTTTTTTGTTTTTTAAAAAACAATTAAAATACTGATTTAACCTTTCCAATAAACAGAATAAAATATCATTAAATTATTTTATTACCTCTAAAATTTTAAAACCTTTGCCTTTGGTTTAGGGGTACTTTTATCTTTTATATTTAATAATTATCGAGTTTTATTAAAAGTAATAGTGTTATTTGATAAATAATCAAATTAAAGATACGTGTACAGTTCCCACAAGGTGTGGACAGCTCATGCCTGGTGGCCGAAACCTTACTTCCAAGGCAGCAACTGAAGCATCCTGGTGTTCCCTTCATTCATAAGTGGCACTTATTGCATAATGGTCTCAAATTTAATAGGTTCGTGAATTTGAGAGTTTAATTTGAATTTATAAGATTTTTTTGATTTTTTAAATTTTTTTCATCTTATAATATTTTTTGTTTTTTGTATTATTTTATATGTGATTTTGAAGTAATTTTGAAAATAACATTGGCTATCTTGATTTTTTTTCTAGTTTTTGTTAAATTTAAATTTTTTTAAAAAATTAAATTAATTAATTTTATCTTCTAACATTTAATTCATGAAGTGTTGAGCTTCTGGGTCGAGATCAAATTTAAAATTAGATGAATTATATGTTTAAAAAATTAACTTTAATCTAGAAAGTTCATTCGAGCTAGCTTTTTTTTTTTTGTTTTATCTTATCATCTAGTATTCTTTTTACAAGATTTTTATGTCATTCTCGTAATAACAAGACTTGTCTCTAGTGTTTTTCAATCTTTATTAAATTTATTTTTTAAAATAAAAAATTGTTAATTAAATTAAATTTATTGATTTTTTTTCAACATTAAATTAGTTAAATATCTAGCTTATTGATTAATAACATATCTAGAATTTAACAAATTATAATGTTTAGATTTTTGTTTTGCTTCTTTTAAAATATTAATATTACGTGAGCTTTTTTTTAAAAAAAAAACAAAAAACCTGCCAGCAGCAGGGCACAAACCATCTAACAAGTGATGAATTTAAAACCCAAGAAAGTCCATGGACATATTGAAAAAAATAAAATAAAATAAAAGAGCAATCAAATAAAATAATGGATTCCTTGTGTTTCTGCACCAAGCCACCACCTAATTACATCAATGGATGCATAAGTCAATTATATTGCATGTATAAAATACAATATATATATTCCTTTGATGTCTAACTTCTCTCAAATTAATAGAATATTGTTATCACTCAAGCCATCAATTTCGAAATCAATATTTTAAGTAATAGAATATTGTTATCACTCAAGCCAACTCTACTTTAACAGGTTCTATGTTTTGAACAACTTGAAAACGCAAAAATTTATTTTGAAATCAAATGTCAGGTTTACTCAAATTTCTCTAGTGGAAGAGCTAGTTTGACCAAGATTAAGTAAAGTATTCTTCAGATAGTTTGACCAAGATTAAGTAAAGTATTCTTAAGATTATAATTTAATTAGTTAGATTTTAAATTTATTTATTAAAAATTATTAGTTTGAATGGCATGAATCTTGGGGTTATTAAAGACTTATATATAATTGTTAATTTTAAAATTTTAAAACATTAGTCAAGATATACTCATGGTTACCTATAAAAAAAATAAAGCATTTACATGGCTAAAAGTTAATAGTACATGATCACCATATGATTTTCATCCTACTTAAAACCTTGAATTGATTAAAACTCTTCCTCGCTGTATATACCATTATATTAGGAGGCCTGACAGCATAACCAGATTTTTTTTTATTTTTTATTGGATTGCAACCTAATCTTTGAATCCAAAGAAGAACATGATTACTATGTGTTTTATGAAATTAATGATCAAACAGGCCAAGCCAGTTGTAAAGATATATGCCCTTAGCAATGAGTTAAAAATAGAGATTGAGAAGGAGAAGAAGAAGAGAAAGAGACTTCTGCAGGATAGTACAGAGAGAGTTAAATTCTTTTATCACTTGCCTCGCCTCACATGGTTTCCACATATTACTATTTATACCTGAAGATGACTATCTTCCTCTCCAACTAGCTGTGACCTTGCTTCATGAGCTTCCCGGCCAACATAGCTACGGGAGTGATTTTCACCTTTCCTCCTCCATCCACTGATGGCAAAGCTGTTGAAGTTACTACATTTTCACCAAGTTTCTTCCATAGCAATGAAACCAAGATCTTAGAGGGAACATAGAATCATGGAATGAGTTTAAAATGCTCTCTCTTTTTTTTTTTTACGAGTAATATTGATTTCTAGATTAACTTGAATACACTTCGACTAATTTTATAATACTAACTTAAAACCATAAAAGGAGAAAACCTTTAATTCCAAAATCTTAACACTGGGTTACCTAAACCTACACCGGGCGTTACCTAAAAATGTCAATCATAATAAAATCTGAATAATATATTGCTCAACATAGCATTCTACACAATACCAAGAAATAGGTAAACTTATAGGACCGTTTGGTTTTCTTTTTCTTTTCAAAAATTGAAATAGCTTTTAAAAATAGATAATATGACAACAATAATAAATAAACCAAACTAAAAATTCTATACAATGATCAATTTAAAAAATAAATACTTGTCAATATTACATGAACATATCCTTTCAATATTTTAAAATATTTCCATGAACTTAGTTGATAATAAAGCAAAAACATATATGAGAAAATGATAAGTTTCTAGAAAGTAAAATGAAAAAAAAAATCAACACTCAATTTTCAATAAATCAATATTCAATAATGAAATTGAAAAAAACCAATTAAAAAATAACAAAATTTTTTATCTCTAATCTATTTAAATCTGCTTGTTAAATACATGATGTAATTATGAGATTAAAATAACCTCATAAAATAAATTTAAATAAAACAACAAAATTTTAATTTTAAAAAACTCAATATAGAAAGACGAAACTGAAAAAAAAAAATTCAATACGATGAAAGCAATTTTTTTATTAAATAAAAAACATTTTAAATAAAAAATTATTGAAAAGTAATTTTTTTTTTAAAAAAATACCTTTATAATTTTGACTTGTTTATATAAGAAAATAAAACAAAAATTAATAAAATAGAATTATAATAAAATATAATAAAAAATAATCAAACTTGATGTGTTTAAGTTTTTTTTAATAAACGAAAGACTTGACAACTAATCACAAAAATTATATTTTAATTTATTTTTGTCTAAAAATATCAAATAAAACATTTTAGAAATCTCAATAATTATATTTTCAATCCCAAAATACCCTTAAATCATTTACAAAACTTAAAAAATAATACCAATTCAAACATATTTTTCTCAACATAATTATAGATCTCAATAACTCTGAATATACATACCTATCAACACTAAACATGTATTTTTTCTTATATAGGTTTGAAATATGTCCGGTCAAAATCATTCTGTCTCCTCCCTCCTCCTTGACATGTGTCTCTTCTCTCCAAATCTGTTGAGATTAGAGCTTGAGAATTGAAATATAAAAAAACTAAAATTAAAAGGAATAAAAATGAAAAACAACTACAAGGACTATATTATAGATTTCTACGCCTCATGAACAGATCCAAAGTGCAGAGTTTCTATGTGCATAAACAAATAGAAGCATATTTGTTTCAAGGCACAACGATGCGGGAATATACGGTCTGTTTTGAATTGAAATACAAGCACATTAAGCTACCACTTGCTTTCAACCAAAAGCTAAGCCTTTTATTATAGAGTCCAATAAACAAATATATAGTGTTTGTACGGATTAACATGGGGAATACTATACATTAAAATTAAAAAAATAATAACAGAGAGAAGAAAATTACAATTTATTGTCAACAGGGAGTGTGGAGATCATGCTAAAATCTTTATTATACAACAAACTAATAATAATGATTTTATAATACACCGTAAGAAAAGCTTAGAGTTCGATGTGTAGATTGTGTGATGCACACACATACACATACCCCAAATTAACAAGAAGTCAATGACTAAATCACAACATTTTTGACAATTTGATTAAAATAGAATACAAAGAAGGAATTTTTAGGAGCGGCAATTTGCAGTTTTCTCTTCCTTCTTTAGCAGTTTGCTCATCTACTCGACATGAATGCAACAAGTCAAAGTAGATGAGCTGGCCTTTAGCAGTTTTGATGTGGAAAGTTCTTGTAAATTAAGGAGGCATGCAGGTCTCAAGGAGCATCCTCCCAATTCCTTTAACTTCTCTATCATCTTGTCCCTTTCTAGGGGTAATTTTTACATGGTCTTGCTTAAATGGTTAAGCGAGAAAATTCTATTAAGAAGTTGATTTTTGACATTAATACATCAAAATAATTTAAAAATCTAAAAACAATTAATTTTTAACGAAAGTAAAACAAATTTTTAAGAACTGAAAATTAAACAAATTTTTAAGAACTGAAGATTTCACCCGTCAAAGTTGAAGGAGTAATAGAACTTGATTAAAGCTACAAGTTAGCTGATCATGGAACTTGATTTTGACTTTAGGTTAAAATTTAATAAAATTCTCTTTGTAAACCTCTCTTAACAATTAGTCAAGTATCATATCATTTTCTGCAACCATGTAGCTCGGAGTCTGAGGCTTTATATCCATTCCTATAATTAAAATAATAGTATTCAGCAGTGGGACTAACCTAATTTTTCCTGCTCAAAACTACAGCCTACAGAGAAAAAAGCTGGAAAAGCATAGACAGAGAGAGGAGGCCTGCCCTAAACTAACACCTAAAATATGAAAGAACTAAGCTTCAGCCAACAGGTCTGGGAGAGACCATATTTTGGTGGATTCATTACAAAATTCTTTCTTTACAACACATAATACCATTAGTTGATCCACGTGCAACATGCAAAATCTCCAGGATTCTTTTTTTCTACAGATCATAGACATCATATACAAAAAGATAGAACCGGTCCACCAAGATTCGCCAGTGTACCTTGTAGTCCAGCAACAAAAGAACAGCTCCTGTCTGTTCGGGATTCTGTCGACAAGTCTGACCAGCAACAAAAGAACAGCTCCTGTCTGTTAGGGATTCTGTCAACAAGTCTGAAGTGAATTTATTTAGCATCTCTCAAATATCTTGTAAAGCTTCTCCAATGAAGCTACCTGTGCAATGCAAGGATCATAAATCAGCCTTGCAAAAATATGCAGCATAGTGTAAAATCCCTAACAGAAAATTATAGTATAAAAGATAATCAATGGTAACACTGATACTGGAAAAATAGAAAGGAGCTTTTTTGAAAGGAACTGATCATACATGTGAAGCAAGTAAAGCCAACAAGTAGAGGTAGCTAAGCAAAATGGACCACATGAGATTTTCATCATTTACTTGAAAGCTGACAACAATATTAGGATGGCTGTCAGCCAACACCAACAGTGAGTTCTTTCTTGGACATCAGGAAGACCCAAGAAAAGATTAATGAAATAAGATGGAGGGCTAAAGTTATCTAACTTGAATAAGTTATGGAACACCCTAAGGCAGGAACTCCCAAAATTGTTAATTCCACAAGAACCTGTAAGCCTCTATAACCTAACAGAGGTTCCACCATTGAAGGGAACTCTGCTCAAGTTTGAACCAGAAAAGGGATTTCAAAAGTTTTTAAATAAAATAATTTCACTTGTAAATTATTAGCACAGAGTATGAAACTATCCCTCCACTCTCCCACCGCCACCACCAGCTGATTCCTACAAAGACCAACATTTGTCTGCTGTTAATTGTGTCAGACACCACTGGCCAAGCAACAGCCACCAGTAGCCACAAATTGCCTTTTCAAAATAAAAACAAAAAGTCAAAACCAGTGCTGTTAATTGTGTCAGACACCACTGGCCGAGCAACAGCCACCAGTAACCACAAATTGCCTTTTCAAAATAAAAAGTCAAAACCCTGCCATCTTGCATGTTCCATTTGGAATGAAACTGAAAATCAAAAGAAAAAATAAAAACTGAATGGCATACTATCAGGCCCCAGTATTCTTACCTGAACAAATGTCCCATTTGTAGCCATTGAAGCTGGTGGCTTTAAAAAGAGTCTCATGGAAGGAAACAATACATGCTGTATTGACCATTCACGCTGGGCCCATGCAGTTTCTGCCTCGGACAGCAATTCATGCTCAAGTTCATCCTCCATTTCAACATCTGTAAAAGTTAAAGTCATAAAATGCTTGCCAATCTCTAAGTAGAAACTACAAAGAGGAATGATCATTTCTTAGACAATGGAGCTTTCTAATGTGTTTCCTCTCCTTGAAGAATAGTGGCCGGTATAACTCAAATCAACTAAGCCTCATGTCCGGTGTAGTTGGGGTGAGCAGTGTTTTAAACAATATAAATCCAGAACATAGTCATTTACAGGTATTCAGTGACTAGCAAGTTGATTTACCTTGGTGAAGAAATGTGCATGCCAAAAATTTTTATCATCAGGTAACATCATCAATTAGCTAGCAAGAAATGCAAGCAATTCAAGACCACAAACAACTAAGTTTGTACTACAAAACAATGAACCAGGCTAGTAAGAACTCCCAACATTAGTTCTTTAAGAAGAAACCCAGCTGATCCTTTTGCCCCCACCTGATTGAGCCCAGCATTCAATTGCTTTTTTCAACAAGTCGGCATTTTGGTTTTGATCCTATATTCAAGCTTCAGAGCTTCAAGATAAATTCATTTCTATGCTTCCATTAATCCTGAAATTGGTTACTTGGGAAGCAAAGAGATGAAGATGGAAATAGGCAATTTTGGAAAGACTATTGCTTTTATGTCATTACTTTCACCAGATACTCCAGGTAGTGATCTCAGGTAGCAAGGATTTAACAATCATCGCTGTTACATGAATGTTTTACAGAAAGATGGAACAAGGTTGGAAAATAAAAGTGGACAGATAAAACTGGAAAACATCACGGGGCATTTGCTATTGTTTTTAAAAATCATTAATCAATGGTCTTCGAGACTAAACATGAAATTGCTCTTTCTGTCAAATAACAGAATTGGTTAGCCAGATAAGGCACAAGAGGGCAGGCACCTGAACGATGATCTTAAAACAGAAAACCATGCTGTTTATATGTTTTAACTTTAGTCAATTGTACAAGGCTGTGATCTATGTTAGAAATCACTACCATTAAATGTTTTTGCAAAAGAAACACAAGATTTTGGAAATCATTCTAAATAAACAAACAGGAATATTGAGGCTACTAGAATGTTCCGTGTGCAGAATGGAGACGGAAAATTATGAAATAAAGATCCTCAGGGCTATTGCCACGTCTACCAAATCTAAAAGAATCAGTTAACTAAGCAACACTCAGGAGCACAAACCAGCAAAGTATTGTGCCCAAAACCACATAGGTGATCAAGTGAAATCAAGAAAATGCCACTGCAAAGATTTCGTTCAACTTCCCCTCTTTAGTAATATATTATTTTTGCAAGAAGGGAAGAATATTTCATCATATTTAAAAACAGATTATAACATGAAATTTAAAGCTTTGCACCTACAACAATTAAATGAACTGCAGTATAAGAAGACATAGCACATTTTAAAAGGAACAAAAAAAGTGTCTTGTAATTTCATTTCTCCATACATCATTGTATAAAACTTCATGACAGTACCCAAAAGTAGTGGAATTATTTAATGATTTTTGCTATTAGCAGTGCTGTCATCACTAATCAACATATCTGATAAATTATGAAAAGCATTGTATTCTTGCAAATCCTACCTGAAGAACATATACTTGTTTTGCAGCTCCTACTATGGCTACACAGAAGTTGTGATGCTAAAGTATTAAGAAGTTCATAGTTTACCCTCAAAAGCCATAATTACCATAAAAAGAAAAAGAAAAAAAATTCAAAAACTATACTGTCACAGGTGTCAAACACAAAACAGTGCATGAAATTCCAAACAGCGATGTACCTATGTCAGTTGCTTTTTCTTTATCATCGGGATTCTTTTCAGGTTTCCTTCTGTAAAATTGTAAACCATCACCTGAGGGACTGGGCAATAGAGGAGGATGCATGGCATAGAAGTTCCCAACAGCAGCTGCAATTGTTTGAAAGCAATTCTTTTCATCCTCCCAATCAACCTACAGAAAGAGGTGACAATCAAATATATGAACAAAATGGCATAGTTACATAAGAGATTGATGGTTTGAATCTATATGCTTGCCAACGTGAACAAAATGGCATAGTTACATAAGAGATCTATATGCTTGCCAACTGTTTAGGAACTTCCCACATTTTACATCAGGATGAGATTCTACAGAAAATGGGCTATTTCAAATTTTGGCATTACAACAGATGAAAGAAATAGAATGAACAAAAAAGCTTCCTCACATAGAACAACAAGCATCAAATGTGCAATTCATTTATGATCAAAGTATTTCTATCATGGATAATTTTGTTGAAATTAGAGGTACGAGAAAATTTAAAAGAATTTTTTTTATTGAAAAATTTTAGACTAATGAAGAGCAAGCAAATAATAATACGTGCTATATACTACTTATACTTATTATCAAAGCATCAACAAAGGAATAACAACAAAACAAAGAGAACAAAAAAAAATTTCAATTGAGAGACTCAACTCTCATCTAATAGAATTTAAACATCAAAGAAGCGAAGTTTCAGGAATCTCAAACCTACATCATTTCCCAAACTAAGTACAAATTCAGGAATCCGATCCATGTCAGGTGTATATTGGTCAAGTATGACAGGAAGCCGAGACAAATTCCCACGTGAGTCAATGTATATGCAGAAATACTCCTCTAGCAGTTCTGCCTTATCCTTTAGCAGTTCAGTGTTCATCTGAAGAAAATCAAACGTACATGATAATGAAAAGATACTGTTAATGGCAGTCATATTTTTGGCACAACAAGAAAACAAAAGCTTGCTCCTTCAGCTACAGTAATACGAAGCCTTGACTGTGTTGAAAATAAAGCTCTAGAAATTAGCAGAAAAGGCTACCAATAAAGTCATAACTTAGAACCTCAAGAAAAAGAATGGTTAAATGAGGAACGGACATATATTTAAGAATCCATGTTCATTATTGAGGTAAAAAAAAAATTGAAGTAATAACATGAATGTGACATCATCAGTTGCTCAAGATCTGCATGAGAATGAAAAGATATTGTTAATGACAGTCATTTATTTCCCTTTATGAAAAAAGTATATACCTCTGCTTTATGACTTTTTTTTACTGTAACATGTAAATCAACTCGAATTGATTTTTAAGTCACGAGAGATTGCACAAGCAAAGTAAAAATTCGTTTTGAGACCATCTAAACGTGCATGCTTGTATCAAAACTAAAAATTATCAAAAGAGTGCATATTTGAACGACAAAAACCACAGTTCAAAAGAAGTAAAGCAAATTCTAGCTCATCCACACGTCAGAATATCTTCTTCCGAAGTAAAGCAAATTCTAGCTCATCCACACATCAGAATGTTTTGTTCGAATTCCAATAGGAAATATACTACCCAGCAATTGTTAGAATGATACCTCATAAGGTTCAACAAATTTGTTATACAGAACTTTAATGGTAATTTAATGAAACTATCAAAGTAAAAGAATAGAAGTTACTTCTGCAATCTTCTCTCTCAGGTCTTCATTTTCGTTGGATTCTAGATCCAAGTCTTCTTCCTTCAATGCCAACATAATGAGCAATCTAAGAGGGGCTGGATCACTCAGTTGTATGGCATTGAAATGAGCAAATCGTCGTAGAACTTGCTGGTACATGAGCTCTTTGCTGTAAATGAATAGAAACAGAACTAATCATTTAGTCAGTGGAGGAAGAATATCATATAGGTTCCTAGTGGCTTGGCCCATTTCTTAAAGCTGATGTAATAGGCTTGGTTGAAGGCCTCTTGTTGTTTTTGGACTGGACCAATTAAGCAAAAAAAAACAAAAGGCCTCTTGTTGTTTTTGGACTGGACCAATTAAGCCAAAAAAAATGGGAAAAAAAAAGAACAAAGAAAAATAAAGCTGTTGTGGATAGTACTTCCAAAACCAACTTAGAACAACTATACAAGAAATAAATGTAAGGAAATGTTATTTATCCCGAATAGTTATGAAGAAGCTGTTGGTGAAAGGAATGGTGAAGGGAGAACATACATGCATGTATACATCAAGTTAAATAGGCATATTCTTCCAAGCAAGCAACTTCCTAGGATCATTTTATTTTGGAAGCAATGCTGAATGCATCTTCAATCTTCATTACATAAAAAAGTCATTCATGCATAAAGTGGCCATGCTAAGAAGTTGACAGTGCAATACTGGACAGCTATATTTGTTATAAACAGATAATTAATGCAAAATTTCAGTCAGCATAGAATTGTTACCTTAAGTTCACTACATTTGCAAGATACAGCTGCGTTTTATACTGAAGCAATGCAAAAACATCATCTGCCATTCCAATATATGTGCAGTTTCTGACAATATCCAGCAGACCTACAGTAACATACATCAGAAGAAGTATCTGATACATTGTATCTTATGGAAGGATTTCTCTTTCCAAAGCATGATAAACATGGTCAAATGCTACCTGAATGACAGTTTCCATCAATATCATTAACAAGCTCCTGAACAGAAGAAATATCTGCACTTTCCTTGGGGTTTCTTCTTTGTCTAACTGAAGACCTGCAGTTGTAGAATTTAAAGAAATCAGGTAACTAGTTATGTGTATAAAAATCATTCAACTCGCAATTCTATTATTGTGATTGTTGAAATTGAACTCCAACTTCCAGCGGAAAGCATTTGCCTACTCACATGAAGAATAAAATATAGAAAGGGAGCATGCAAACTGATAGAGAACCAATTTAACACAATTAGTCTATAGTATTCTATATAAATTTCTAGCCTTTTATCATCCCATACTATCACATTTGTAGTGTTCTGTAGTTTTTTGCTCTCTTCTTCGTGAGGTCTGAATATCAAATGCTCATTGAACTCTCATCTAGCTTCTTATGTTTTTCACATTACAAAGTTTTGATCATTAAAAAATATTTAGACGGATTAAAATTGAGCTACAAACAACAAAAATTTTCATGTGAACAAAAATTTGCAGTAACATACTACGGTGTTTCCTTCCCAAAAAAAAGGTATTTAATGAACTACTTCAATTAATATAGGTTATTTTGCTAAAAGTTGCTCTTAATGCCAGTTATCAAATTGACTAAAGAGGCCTAAAATGTGCAAAAAAGAATGCCTTATTTGATAATGAGATATTCAGGAAGCATCAGAACAATCAAGGATGTTCATAATGGTTGCACTTAAAGCCAATTAGAAGGGTTAATTGACTCACATTGGTCACATAAAACGACAACTGATTAAGGAACCTACCTCACAGCTGCCAAGCTAGAATTCCCTTCAAGATTATCAACAGGCCTGGCTTGCAAATAGGCATGCAGCCTTCCAGCAGGATCTGATGCATCAGTTCTTACCATTTTATTCACTGGAACTTTTTGTGATTTGGACCCTGATTATATGCAATAACATAACAGTATCTTAATAGGCATCGCAGTGATTCTGACAAAATTGAGGCAAACCATCAGATAACCAGTATATTAGCTCCATACCATAAGGCGAGGGTGAGGGGTTAACATTTGAATCCTTTTTTGCACTTAAAGGAACACTTGGAGATGAATCCAACGTCTACATGCATGAAAAAGAAGATGGAAATAAAGCGAAAAGGATAAATGCATTAATATAGAGAACACTAGAAATGGTGTCACACTCACCACAAGTCTAGTAAGAACAGAAAAGAGGAAAGATATACAGTTTAATTCTTGCCCAGTGTTAGGCAGAAAAATACCCAGTGAACATACAGATAGGCTCCATAAGTAATTTAGAACATTCAGCTCAAACTGTGAAAGCAGAACTTCTTGAACATTAGAGTCCAAAGTAAAGCTAAATACTTAAGACATGAAATGAGTTCAAGTTTCAACTTTATAATCTCGAAAGAGCCCCTATCCCCTTCTATCTTCTAACTTCTAAAACTACATATTACAGAACTTCATGCAGTGTGGTCTTGGTGACTTGATGCACAGGTTTAGTCTAATCTTATAATATATTGCTTATTATCAACGAATTCAGGCAAATAAGGAAATAATCCAAGATTATATAGTGATTAGAATAGGATGATCCAACAAAATTTGGGAATGAATTTACCAGTTACTATATGTTATCAAAAGAAAGACACTCTAATGGATTTGGTACTTCTTAATTGGATCCAAATTTTGAGGTAATATTAACAGATTGGTCAGAGTTACAAGAAACAGATAGCTAAGAAATTGTGAAAACATCTGGTTCCAAGCTTCATTACCAAAATGTACCTGTTCTTGAAATGTCCTGGCCTCGTTTGAGTTCCTCAATTTTGATTCAACAGCAGATTGTATCGTGTTAATAATGAATTCCTGGTTCAGAAGGCTTACCTGCATATTAGCACATGATTTCTTTACTAAAAGCAAATTAATACATAGTTTTGGAAGGGGTTAGAATTTAAAGTAAATGAAAAGCTATACACTTCTTTCTGTACCAAATTCATATATGATACAAATACAGTTTTGTATTTTATATTTTTTTCTTCTACATTAATAAAACAAAACAACTCATTGGCATTTAGTATAAATGTAAACTGAGCATATAAGGCACACCTAGCCTACCATACCCATGTAAGCTTATGCAAGTAATGAATAAACAATAAGCATATTCCTTTTCTTTTTACCTTCACAAGAACTACCCGCCATAAATGTTACTGAAATCTGTCCTATGCATGTATGAGAGAACACCTAACTTCACTCCCATATATGCTAAGAAGCCAACTTGAATTTCAAAACTTATAGTTATGCTCTCTTATGTAGCGAAAAACAGCAGCTGAAAAAATAAAGAATAGAAGATCACACACATTATTGCATATCTCTCGTCATAAAGAATCTATCCACCTTTCCATTTTGAGATGTCCCAAAATTGCTGTCCAATGAAAATGTCAAAGCATTAGCTATTTGGTTTTTGTGTCATACCCTGATTAAAATCCACTTTCACTCTTAATCTAACTATTTATCTCTCATTAACTTAGATTTAAAGAAAACTCTCGATTCATTGAGCTTTTGAAATATAATTCATGCAAATTTGGGAGTAAATGTCTCATGATTTTTTAGAAAAATTGTAAAGGCAATTGTACTCTTTATATGGTTATGATATTGTGAGTTCCCAAAGACTTTGTAGCATGTTAATGATAAAAAAATATATAACAACTGCAGCAGCAACAATAATAATAATTGTGGTTTATGTATTTCTTAGAAAAAAACAATTTGTTTTGTTGTTTAAAGACTTGAACTAACTAATTAGGATATCCAACCTCTCAGCACTAGCCCAACACCAATAGATTTATGTATGCTTGATTCTGAAATACAATAAAAAGGTAACACTAGAAAGTGATGTGAGAATAGATGGCATGGAATCAAATTAATTGTTCTTTGATAATCTGTGTATAAAGTCGAAACTTAGGGACAGAGGGTGTATTAGATTATTCTATATTCTTCATAATCACTCAAGGAACATAGAATCAGGACATAGTTAAGACCTAATAAGGCTACACGATAAAGATTAAAATGGAAGGAATCAATTACAAGGTTTATGAATTACTTGAGTTTAAAGTTTGGTATTTTCACTAATTGGAGGATCTGAAATCATCTAATGACATTTGCTTGGCTATACAAAATCTCTCAACTAAACCATCCATTTGTGGTCTAAACAGTTGCAAAAAAGTTACATTTCCTAGGAAGCAAAGCAAGACCAACTGTAGCAGACAGATTATCATTAAATGACCAAACAAACAAAGCTGGAACTAATAAGTAAATGAAACATTTTAGAACAATGAAGAAATGCAGAGTATTTTTTTCTGATTTCAGCACACCTCCTCGCATTAAAACAGAAAATCAAACTAATATAATGGACTGATTTGAAATTTCAGCGAACAAGTTCATAGTCTCCCATTTAAACTTGCCAATATCTAAAAGATGCTCTCAAATGGATTGGTCAGACAGTAGAAGGAACCAAAAACCATCCCCGCATATGACTTTTTGGCCTTGGATCGCACTTGTACTGGTAAAGGAATGGGAAGACAAATTTTAGGTTCAGATCTTACTAGAAGATGAAAAAATAATCCATTAGTTTGTTGCCAAGCTAGTTGAGATGTACTTAAATAATACCAAACAAGAACTTTTCAATTGTAGAAAGGTCTTCAAATTATAATGCAAAATCACAAAGGTTTAGAACAGTCTTTAAGTACAACTCTGATCAATACTTAGGATGAATTTATTTGTCAGATATGAGCCATCACCCTGAACAAAAAAAGGTGAAAAATTGTGAACACAGCAAAGTAGTGAACAAATAAATATCCCAAGGCTTATTTGGGAGGATGGCTTATCCTCCATCAAGCTTTTATTATTCTTTTACTCATAATACAGTTCTATTATCTAAATAAATAAAACCCCCAGCCTCAAGCGGGTTGCTACAGTGCAATTTCACACAGACATTCACAATACTTCATCAAAATTCTTGGCACGTCATGCTGCAATAGAATTTACAGTGAGTTATAAATGTGCTACTGACAAGATTAATTTATGCATTCAGAGTGCATTCATAATGTAGTATTCTCTTGTTGAAAACAACTAGGAGAATGGAATTAAAATTCAAAATGCCACATAATAATAGTTAACCCAGCATTGCAGCATGTTTTAATACACATATCACAATGATATCATGTTTTAATATACATATCGCAATGATATCTTTATCAGCAACTGTTAACATAAAAAACCAAGGCATTGGACATGAGACAAGTAGAGTTCTGTAAAAAACACCAGGGGAATTTGACGCTGCTATGGGATTTTATTTTATTTTTCTGTTTCCCCCTAGGATTCTTATTATGAGTAATTGCAAAATAAAACATTCCACCTGATTTTTACAGAGAACAAGGGATCTGAGGACATTATTTTCCTTTTTCTGCTTTATACTTATCCATATTACTCCCCTCATTGACCAGATTTACTGAATAAAATTATCCATATTTCTGGAAATGCGTACCTCTCTCTTTGTAGGATGCACATTCACATCAACATGTTCAGGTGGCAAAACTATTGACATGTATATGAAAGGTTTTGAAGCTTTTGGTAAGGTAGCAGCATAAACAATTTCGATAGCTCTCTTTAAAGCAGTGCATTCCACTAGTCTATCTGTAGCAAACAAAAAAGACCAAGGTAAAAGAAAGTTACAAAAGGAAAATGTGTGAGAACCAAACTATTTTCTTTCTTTTTTTTTTCATACTCTTATAGGAAAAGAAAAGGGGAAAAAAAGAGTAGAAGGCATATAACTTCAAATAATTTGCAATTCATCCTATTTTTCTTCTTTCCATAACAATCC